CACACTTGCCTAGCATGTGTGAGGCACTGGGTTTTACCCTTAGCACCACATAAAATCAAATAAATAAAAATAAAAGTATTGTGTCCATCTACAACTAAATAAATAAGAGAATATTTTGCCCTTCCACAGGAAGTTAGAACAGTGCTAGGAGCTTTAAGTATTATGATCATCTGAAAACATATTTAAGGTTAAACACAGTGGGAGGATTTTTATATCATGGGAAGATGTTTTATTATGATAACTTTATTAACCTGAAAATAAGAGGCAGTGACACATAGTAACATAGCAGTTCAGGGATAGGRTTCGAATTCCAAGTCTTTAGATATGTAACTGTAAGTCTCTGAACTTCAATTTAAATATTTACAACACTTTATTTAGCAGGACTTGTGCAGAATACAATAAATATTATCATTGATGCATAAGAAGTCAGAAACAAAGTTATCTATATTTAATTTGCCATACAATTCAATTAATAATGTTATAATCCTTGCTATAATAAAATATAATATTTTATGTTGTATTTAATTTTAAAGCGTGATTCATAACTACTTACTTTTAAAACAGTATTTATACTTAATTTAGGAGATTAAGCAACCAGGTATTTGACCCTGGGAATGAAGTAGTAAGCAAACACTGAGCAGGTAAATAAAATGTTATTTATAATTTTAGAATATCTCCTGACAAAAAAGAAAAAAATAATATTGTAGAAAAAAGCCACTGTCATGTTTCATTATGCTTTTCAAGAAGCATTAACAGTCTATAAAATTTAGCATGTATGACTGTGTGGTTTACTTATAAAGGTGCTTTTTAGGTGGAGACTAGGGAAAAGGTAAACACTAAAAAGCACTAGGGCACCTTAAAATGTAAATCAAAGAGCCTTAGCTAGTAGGAGCATTTCAGCAACACTTAAGGACCTCAAGGACAGACATTATTTTATTGTTATTTCCAATAAATACTGATGACATATCATTTGTGAAGATGAGTCTGACAAATATTTTCTTTCCTCTGTTCGATGAGTCAGGGGGAGGGTTGGATGAAATAGTTTTGCTTGAAAGTGTCCAAATAACAGAAACCAAACTCTCATGCTTCCTTGACTCTGTGGCATTCTACTCAGACACTGGACAAACTGAGGCTACTCATAACTACCTTTATAATCCTAACTAACTTTTGAAACCTAGGTCAATGACACACGTCTGTTTTGCTCTTCCTTGTTTCCAACATCCATTGCATTCCTTGCCTTTCTTGAGCTACAGCCCTTGCATGTTTTTGTTTGTAGCCTCTTGAGTTGTGAGCACCACAGCAAAAGAAACTCTCAAATCATCATCTATCTTCCATGGTATCTTATAGCGGGCTGTAGTAAAACTGGTTCTGGGGTGTGTGATTACAATTTATAATAATTTCCCTGTGATATGAAATACAATATCCCAGACATCACCACCCCACCTTCTTTTCCCATTTAAAAAAAAAATGTTTGATCACTGCTGTGGATGTAGCTTAGTGGTAGAGCATGTGCTCAGCATGCATAAGGCCCTAGATTCAATGCCCAGAACACTCCCCCCACCCCAAAAAAATGTTTGGTCAATTTAATCCAATCTTTATAATACAATTCTTCTTTATCTTTCCTAACATTTTACTTCTCAGGCTGCAAAGTCATGGATGGAGATAAATTTTTAACAGTTACCCTTTCATACAGGTTGTACAAAGACTCGATCTATTTCAGATCTTGTTGTACTTAGTATTTGGACATGTCATTTTGAGTAGTAATAAAATCATGTTTAAAATTTCTGTGTCAAGATATTTCTACCAAGGAAGTGTAGTGAGAGGAGGAGCATTGGGAATAGAATTCCATGGTGGGTGGGTGCCCAACTGGAGACTGTTGCTGAGGAGAGAGACAGTGGATGTGTATACATCGTCCTCTAGAGGATCAAAAAAAAAAAAAGTAGTAAAAAGGAAGGCAAGATTTTGCCACATTTGGTCAATAAACACCAATTATCTTGTGATTTTCCTCCTTCCCTTCTTCTTTTCCTTTCTCTTTCTCACTCTATCTAGTCCCCTGCTAAGTCCCATAAAACATTTCTTTTTATCACTTTGGTTACCATTACCATATTATAATATTTTGTTATCAGGTGAACTAAATAAAACACAAATGGCTGACTTTGGGGGATTTAGTAACTATAGACAGAAGACACCAGAGATGAGCTTCTAATGAACCATAAATTAGTGGATTAGTGAAAGCAAGGGTAGAGGACCACAATCTATCTTTAGGGACTTGAGAAGACAAAGAAAGTGAACCAAGAATTGAGAGAAGAATTCAGAATCTGTATCCAAGWGAAAGACATTTCCTCTTGGTCAGGATAGCTAAGACAGTAGAAAGCATAAGTTTCAGTCATCAGGTTAAGCAGTATAGACGCATTACTCAGAAAATTCCATCTATAGCCAAAATGCTGTTTTAAAGGTATCATCTGAACAAAGCTATTTTACCACACATCATTTCATAGAGTTAGAATGGCTAATMTAAATTTAAATGAAATATTTCTAAAACATCAAATGCTTCAGTAGTTATAGCCCATCAATAATGCAGATGGGATGAAGAGAAACTATGAAACAAGTTTACATAGCAGGACACTTTATTCATGTACTTGAACTAACGGCCAAATTTTCAGTTATATGCTTCTCATTATTAGTCTGCCAAATATTAAAAGACATTAGCTGGGAAAATATTGAGGTGATTTCATAACTGCCTAGGAATTCAAATTTTCCAGCTTATAAACTGAGTCATAGTAGCATTCTTTGTGAACATTTGGTTACAAAATAAGTAGCTTAATATGATTAATTAGAAGTATTTTTTCTCAGTAGTTCATTTTTTTCTTCAGTATATTACACATTATTAGAAATCTAATTTCATGAACCTATCAGATTCTCCCCAATGAAAGTAACATAGTTTTATATTTAATCAATGTATAGATCTATCAGTTATGAAAAAGTGTTTCTATTACAAAAAGTGAATACAGGGTAATTACTGTAAAGGTCTGTTTTATCATTTGTGAAGTTCATATTCAAGTCATTTCTACATTGACTTTTCATTTTTTTCTGCCAAACTTTAGTTGTTGTTAACATATATTCCTTTACTATAGATTGATGCAAAAAAWTTAGACTATAAAATTCATTAATAAGAATAGCTGAAGAAGTTAAAAGTTATTTACTAGCAAATATTTTAAAATAGGTTGATAGCAACTTTCTTTTAAATACTGAAATCATACATAATTTTCAAATTTACTTGAAAAAATCAGTAGCTTTTGGAGTATGAAATGAATACTACATTTAGAGTCTTAGTTTAAATACACATTTAAGTAAATTTGTGGTTTTTGCATGGAAAATGGTCCTATAAAATTTGAAACACTACATTTTCATACTTTTAGGAGGTATATAATGAAGATTAAATGACTTTTACATTTAAAAACATTTTAGCATTAAAAAATAGACTTTTTRTTTTTCGTCTTGTTTTTCTCCTTAAGTAGGTTGTAGTTGACCTTTTTGCTTAGGCAAAGATAAATTTCACAACTAAGAAAAAGTTTGCTAGTGATTTATGTTTGTTGCAAAATAACATAGTTGGTTCCCTCTGCAGTCAAAGATGAATTTATTCACTGCCTGGAAATACTTTATTCAGGTCAAAGTTATGTCAAAGAACTGTAACTTTCATATTGTATGTGAAATCTACAATTTGTAAATATAATTCATGTATGTACTTGCATTACATTAAGAGAATAGAGTTATATCATATATCAGTATGTTTTCCTGTCTTATACCCTAAATTTAAAAAAATAAGTCTACTTMACACATTAATGTCTGAAATTCAGACTTTCAGCAGTAAAATTTAACTTCCAGAATCAAAAGTCTTCCMAAAGGACATTAAAGCATGGAAAGAAAGAATGATTTTTGTTTTACAAGATGTTATTTATTTTTAGTTGAAATACAAGTATACACTGCTCACTTTCAACATTGTCAGTCAATTCATTTCTTTATCTTCCTACTCTAGATGTCTTCCCATTATTACCTACTACCACCAGAGGTCTTATTTTAAAGAAAAAATAAATCTGCAAAACCTCATCTGTCTAACTGCTTTATGTGGTCCAAAAATTAGACAGGTGGACAGCTTAGTAGCTGTGCTTTCCAACAAAGAAAATGGGGAAAAGAGACACACAATAGAGCTTTACTCAATGCTCTAGTACTATATTTCCAGGCTATGTGCTCTATTAGGTTCCACAGACTCAACATGGGATATCTACTTAACCCATAGTGATATCACAGGGGGAAATTACTGGATTAGATGAGCATGAGGAGTTTATTTTCTTCAAACCTCATTTTCTCTTATAAACAATAAATATTCCAAATTCTCAAGTGTGTAGCTTTGTGTTTAGAGATTTCTAAATTGTTAGAAGGAAAATGGATAAATACTTTAGAATAAATAGTTCTTTTGTATGCTTACATTTTATTCATTCTGAAAATAATTAAGGCAGTTAAAATAATTAATTAATAACCTATCATAATACAGACTATTTTTCAGAGGTTCTGAGACATAAACAAATAATTTTAGAATATATGAGTATATGCAGCTTGATGGAGAGTAGTATATGTTATATATGGGTAGTATATAATATAGTATTCAAGTAGTATATTTTCTGTGAGAAGAGATAATCTGACGTCTAAGGCAATCTAATTATTCTTTGGAATAGTTTGCTGTTCTTTGAGATTAACAACTGCAGTTTTTGAGTATTTATTACATCTAGTCTTATGTGAAGATAAAAAGAAGTAGTATTATTCTGGAGACTATGATAATTAAGGAAGTAACAAAACTTTTTGTAATTGCTGAATTCTGTTTCCTTAATATCTTCTTTCAATGAAAGTAACCTTAAAGATATGTAAAGTAAAGAGCCCGAAGAACCAATACAATTCAAGAACAAAAGGAAATTGTTTCTTTGTGATATGAAAAAATTACTTACCTCTGTGGAATATAGAACATATGTTGAGGAGGTGGTTTATAAAGGACTCCTTCATACACAGGCCAGAGCCCACTTAAAATTCTGAAGAGAGAACTTTTCCCACAGCCATTGGGACCAGTTATCAAAAGATGCATTCCTTCTTGTACCTAAAGTCCAGAGGTAAAATCACAAACTGCAGTATTTAAAAATGATTTCATTTAGCAGCATTTAAAAATGATTTATTTTTTTAAAATATTGAATTATACAATTACCTTGTATGGGAAAGAAATTGGAGAAAAATATGTGGGATGAGAACAGCAAGTTTGGTGTTCTCTAAAGCTAAAAGCATCATAAAATAATTTAATTACCAAGAAAATGGATCTTCTTGGAAGGACTACTGGCTTTCCAACATTTTAATTGAGGTCTTGTAATCACATACATGCATGCAGAGAAATATGATCCTATTAGAAATAAGGTAAATCATAAAATGTAAATAAGTTGATTAAGTTTCATCTTATTTATATTAATATTTGATAAGAATTAAGCAAAATTTAAGTACAGCTGAACATCCCTATGCTATAAAGTAGTTATCTGAAGAGCCAGCTGCATTGCTTAATTTTGTACTTCAGAAGTCTGAAATGTTACAGAAATCACAAAAGCCCATAATCAGAGAAAGAAGATGACTCTAATTCTGCTTTATTCACAGATGTAGAAAATACGTTTGCCAAACAAAAACAGAGGAAGCAAGAGAATTGTAATTTAGTCTTATGTCTATGATGAATTAGAGCATATATACTTGGCCCTCCATATTCACAGTTCCATTTCCAAGGACTGAACTAGCTGTGGACTGAAAATATTTAAGGGAAAGAAATTGCATCTGTATTGAACATGTGCGTAATTTTTTCTGTACACCATTTTATATAAAGAACTTGAGCATCAGCACATTTCGGTATCCTCAAGGGGTCTTAGAAACCAATCCCTTGAGGATACTGAAAGACAACTGCATATATATATTTCATACTCTTTACATATATGAATATTCCATACAGTGTATTAATAAAAGTTATTTACCTATTATTTCTTAGATGCTTTCCTTCACTTCTTATGTTACTTATAATTCAAATTTATACAGTTACACTTCATTAGTTCCCATTTCATTCAACAGGATGGAGGTGTTGTTTTACCATAGTATTGAAAAGATATTGTAAAGAACAAGGAATAGGAGGAATACCACTTAAAATCTGATTTAATTTTCCTAAGAACAAATGATGTTTTATAATCAGCAATAAAAAAGAATACAATAGGAAGGTATGAGAAGCAGAAATCTATAGCCTGTCTATGTATGTAGCTTTGTATTCAATGAATACAAATATTCAACAATCAATAATATAGAACACATGACACTGAAAATTCAAAAATGAAAGAGCATTATATTGCTAGCATCCCAAGAAAATCCTGGAAAGAACCTGGAAAAAATAATTTTATAATTTTTTTGCATTCTTTTACTAGAGAGATTAAGGAAGTTTAATTTTGTGGAAGCATACATACGTTCCGAATAATTTTTTAAAGGCACATCTGATATAAATGAGAAGCATAATTCACAAAATATTTAATAAGGCCTTTTGCTATTTTCTATTAGGGATTCTCAGAAAATTAATGCTTTTCATTTGAGAAGTAACTGAAGACTTTGTACTTTAAGATTAATATTTTCTAATGCAAATTCTCTGATGCTTAGTTAACAAYGAATKTGAGGCAAAAGTTTCACACTTACTGAATTTTCTTCTGCAAATGATATTTTAATTTTAAAAGTCAATAAAGGGATGAAAATTGTTTCCTTTAGAAACCTATTTTCTTTTTAATCCATACAAAAGAAATAGAAATTTCTATCATAATTTTAGGGACTTGAGAATTCAAATATAATTCTACAACTCAGAAATAATTACCCAAAATACATACTATAATAATTCCAATTTTGTAGGAATTCAAAATTTATAAGATTCTCCCTCTAGGTTAAGTAATTTTAGTTCATTTTATATAAAAGAAATTAAGCTCTGGATGGGTGCAGTGGGGCAAATGCCTGTAATCCCAGCAACTTGGGAGGCTGAGGCAGGAGGATCGTAGTTTTTCAAGACCAGTCTCAGCAATTTAGGGAAACCCTCAGCAGCTTAGCAACACTCTGTCTCAAAACAAAAAATAAAAGTCTTAGGATGTMGTTTAATACAAAACAACAATAATAACAAAACTGAGCTCTGAATTTTTCCTCAGTGTGTGATGGTTCCATAATAATGTAGTTAGTAAGTGGAAGAATTCAAGGCCTGAACTCTATTTATTTGATAAATAGAGCAACAAAAAGTGATATTAGAATACCCAACTAAAGGGAAAAAACTATACAAAAGCCATAAATTATAAATTGCAGAACTATTAATAGATCATCAATTATTCTGTATATAACATGAGTAATAGATACAATATAAGAAACTGTTAATAAAATCACTCCACAGTCTACAAGTGGAAAATAAAGACTGACCAAATTATAGTTAAAATATAATTTCTTTTACATTATTAACTTATGATTTCTCCCTGTTCAGTACATCTCATTTCTTTTCAACCTCTAGTAACCTCATTTCGATTATACCTTTGATAAATAAACCTAAAGTCCATTCTAAAATCATTAGCACATTTATTGTGATGTTTCTAATTTGATTATCAAGTCCAATCATGTCTTTGAAATAAACTCAACAGGTTGCATTACAGTCACTGAATTCCAAAATGTATGTTTGAATTTTACGATGCTTTAAATGAGGATCTCAGATGTCTTGCATACTTTCATATCTCAGTTTTGGTAATTAAGACATAGGATATTACATAATTATTGTCAATAGAATTAAAAATTAAATTTGAAGCTGTGACTCTTCTGCATATTTTTTTGTTAATAGTAAATGTGATTTTTTAAAGTAGAATGTAAAGTTACAGAATGTGTATTAGAATTAAACTTGCTAATGACATCTATCCCCAATTATTAGGAAATATGCTACAGTATAGTCTTRTATGTTTAAGTAATTTCTGTAAAGAATAAATTAAAATTTATTTTAATCCCAGATACTAATTTCTGGGGAAGTTTCCTTTGTTTCCTAAAGTTATCTTGTATAGGCTTTCAGTGCACTGTAATTTTGATTTTAAACCTGATAATAAAGCAGTAGAAGTCATATCTCTTTTCTCCCTGCTTTCTGAGGAAGTAACTGCTTCTGTAACTGAGCCACTGTGCATACCTTTCTTGATTTCCCCTCTTTTCCATATGCTCCTCCAAGTATTTAACATAAGGTACATGAATTCTGAGTTGTTTTGTATTAGTGTGATGGCAACAATCAGAAGATTCTTGAATATCATCTTACTTTGAAGTTTAGCCTGGAAGCCACCACTTCTCCAGCYGGAGTAATTATGGGAACATTTTCACAAATAATTCCATGATCCACATCAATAACTTTTCCTATAATTAAAGAATAGTTTTAATTTTAAAAGCTATCACATGTTACTGCTTATTAAATAAGTTAAAGTACAATGCAGAGAAACCGGTAAAATCATAAAGATAGCTCACAGTAATAAATTATACGAAAAAATACAAAAAATCTCTATATGTGAAGCAAAATTTAATTTAAATTTATATATGTTTACATGTCTTTTAGAAAATCATTCTGAGAAACTATTTTATAATAATCTAATATTGATATCATCATGAAAGCACAGCCAAACTTAATCTGATATAACCTACCCATAGATTTCATGCCTACTTTGTTTCCCTAAATTAACCTTTTCTACAGAAAAAAATATAGTGATGGAAAAAAGAAAAAAAAGAATTGAAATAATATATTTTAATACATGACAATCAAGTTTAAAAACATAGGACAATGAAAAATGATAGACGTTATTTCTAATTCTATTTGTTAAATTTTTAAAGTAAACAGTTATGCCATATGTTCTGTTTCCAAATATAATTCTGGAAATCTTTCTCTAAATAAAAGCAGCACAACATTGTTTCCTTTTATGCAGTGTTAGTCACTATCCCTCAAGTTGCAGCACCAATTTTAGAGATAGTTGTTTAAATAATGTTGGTTATATGAATGTTAGTTCCTTCTAACTATTAAAAACTAACTTGTGAAAAAAAAAACTTTGGCTCTATTGATAAAATAACACTTAACTATAGAGAAATTATCAAAACATGAGTTTAATACCTTTGATTGCCCGTGTGTCAGTTAGGGGTAATTCTATGTTGGCACCATTCTTGCTATGGTTTTCAGATTCTTGAATGACAGCAGTTCTTTTATAAATGCCCCTTTTTACTTCATCGAAGACCCAAAACATATTGTACACTCTAGTAGTATATCCTGCTAATTCAGTTATCTAAATCAATAGAGACAGGTAAAACAGAGTTAATATACTCAAGATGGACTCTTAAATAAATATGTAATCATACAAGGTTCTTGGTTTAATATTAAGGATTCTATACTAAGATATTTAAGAAATAGATAGTACCTCTGATGACTAAAACAAATGACAGTAAAAAGCTTACCAAAAAAGGAATTTTAACAATATCATTATGAAAGCACAGCTATGAGGTAGGTTAGGGCAATATGGTAAGATCTTACTGTAAGTTTGACTGGAATTATAAAAAATTATATGTTTTGAGTCATAAGGATCTTTTAGCCAAATTTCAGATTTGGCCCCTGGTTTTGTGATGAATTTCATTTCCAGAAAAATTAGAAATTTTGTTAATGAAGTGACAACCCTTTATCTTTGCTGTCTCTTTTCTATTTAAAATAGAAAATTTTAAATAGAAGGTAAGTACTTTTTCATTATTATAAAATGAATGTTTCTGAGTCAAAATTGATTGTTAAAATTCCTTTTTAGACWGAGAAATATCTATGCTAGAGGATACCAGTTTTGAAAGTGACCTCAGTGCAAGGCTTCCAATCCTTTTCAGTACAAATCCCACAATCCAGTTTCTTTTCAAGTTAAATATGATTTATATGTCCAAGAAAAAAATCAAATATATTATTTTTTTTCTAGGTAACATTTTAAGATGAAATGAGATAAATCTCTAATTTATTCCATAAAGCTTAACAGAAAGGTGCTTTGCTCCTGTATTCTGCCAACTGTCCAATCTGGGTTAACCTAGGAAAGGTAGCAGAATACAACAGTCACAAATATGGCAGTATGTAAAAATGTGGATGTGTAACCGATGCGATTCTGCAATCTGTATTTGGGGTAAAAATGGGAGTTTATAACCCACTTGATTCTAATGTATGAAATATGATATGTCAAGAGCTTTGTAATGTTGTGAACAACCAATAAAATAAAATAAAATAAAAATTTAAAAAAGACAATACTTGTTATCAGGGTTCTCTAAAATGTGACTCATTTCCTATCCAGACCATTTTTTTTTCCTCAATGAAAAAGAAAACACAAACATTGGGCAATTGTTCCCAATAAAGAAAGCATGCCACTATAAAGGTATGTTAAATAATAGCTTGTGAAATAATACAACAACGCTGACATTTGATTAAGATTTTTATATGTGCAAAAATTAAGCTATAAATGAGTATTAYGGTTAAAAACCTTCTACTTAGTGAGAAGTTTGTAATTACATGGGTATTTCATTTCTATAAATTAATGTTATAGCTATTTCAACAATAGTTTCTAAAATGTTATCTAGAGGAAATTGTTGAATTACAAAATGGAGAAATACAAAACTAAAGATTTACAAAATATGGATTCAAAAGAAACATGGGTAAATATAAACATTTGCATAGAAAAAAATTTCAAAACCAAAATTAGAGGGTAATTCAAAAAGGGCAGAAGGTTAGTACACTAGGATAGAGGGTAGAATTGGGCAGGGAGTGCATGGAAAAAAATAAGAATGTACCTGCGGAGAAATTATTTTGGGATTCCAAACAAGGGATTTGTTTTAGATTCCTGTCTGYATAAAGGATACTTGGTTCCTCTGGAGCTAGCAGAGAAGGCGTGGTGATTTTATATGCTGTCCCAGCAGATGTGACTTTTTTTTKGGGGGGTGTGGCTACCTGAGATTGAACTCATGGGCACTCAACCACTGAGCCACATCCCAGCCCTATTTTGTATTTTATTTAGAGACATGGTTTCACTGAGTTACTTAGCACCTTGCCATTGCTGAGGCTGGCTTTAAACTTGTGATCCTCCTGCCTCAGCCTCCAGAGCTGCTGGGATTATAGGCATGCACCACTGTGCCTGGTTCAGATTTGACTTTTTTTAAGAAGTAGAAATTCCATGATTCGAAGCAAATGCAGGCAAAATAAAGCAAAATGCAGTCATTTGTTGAGTTGGAGATAATCTAGAAAGGCTAAATGATGTCTTTTCTGTGACTTAATTTAATAGCAGTGTATTTGAATGTGACATGAACAACATTTTTATTCACCATTTAATTTTAATGTTAAGTATTTTGTTACTTAATATTAAAATGAAATAAAGTAAAAGTCTATCCCCAAAACTAGGTCTCTATAATGTTGAAATTAGTATTTTATTTTATTTTTTTTTAAATTGAGCTCTTTTGATATGTGTTGCTGAACTACTGCTTTTACTTAAAAAATTTTACTTCTGTAAGGACATCACAAAATTTGTAAATCTACTATATAGGTATTTATGACTAATTTAGTAGACAGCTAAACTTGTAATGATGTTTTAATAATATATATTGATAAGAAAGCCATAAGGAATATCTAAATTTAATAAAAAAATTTTAATATTAACTCTGTGGTATTTATAGGTCCTTTTACCATTCTTTCAAAAATTTATTAATCAAATCAACAAATACAAGTACCTCTTTGTATGAAGACATAATCCCAAGCACTAAAATGGATATTATGAATGTAAACATGAGTCAGACAGTCCCTGCTTTCAAGGAGCTAAAGATCTGGTATAGGAGAAAGACAATATTAATGTATTCAAGCACCAGACATGCAGAGGTAAAAACAGAGAAGAAAGCCCAAACTCTGCAGGGAAGAGAGAAAAAAGGTGGAATCCCAAGAAGATTTTAAATGTGGCTGGTGAAAGTTCATTAATAAAACATGGATAAATTTGCAAAATATATACAACATTATTAACTAGCATTTATAAGAACTTAATATGCATTTTCTTAAATTTTTACATGTATTACTTTGCAACAAACCTACAAAGTCAGTACTATTACTATCTTCATTTTTCAGAAAAGGAAATAAAGACACAGAGCAGAGAAATTAAGGAATTTGATCAAGGTCACATAATGCATAAATGCTGAAATGAAAATGTAAATTTAGTCACTCTGGTTCCAGAGTCCATATTTGAGGGATTTTTTTTTTTTTTTTTTTTTTTTGTGGTGCTGGTGATTGAACCCAGGCAGGGTCTAGTAAAAGTTATGCAAGCGCTCTACTGCTGAGCTACATCCCAGTACTTTGAGGGATTTTTTAAAAAATTTAAAACAGACATGTCATACTAGAGATAGAATTTTCTATCTCTAAAAGAGGAGGAGTAACAAATAAAGGCTATTAGCAACAGCACCTTGGGAGTTTATGTCTTTAACTTTGATGATATTCTTACAAGTTTTTAATAAAGATATGTTTCCAAGATACTATAACAACCTGGTAATGTACATATTGCTTGATTTTTATATGTTGTATCTTATTTTAATAAATTGAAGAATACAAGTACCTCTTTGTAAGATGACATAATCCTTTCAATAGCATCAGCTCCAGAAGCCAATAAATTTCGAGCAGTGGTAAAGGCTTCTGTCCGTTCACTAACCATAGCTTGCTTCTGACCACCTTCTTGATCTAAAATCAAATTACAAAACAATTGAGTTTTTCAAGTAACAAATGTCTTATTCTAAACCAATTATGGATAACACAATGATTAATATCTCATTAGTATCAGCAATTTTCTAGACATATAATGAATTATTAAAAATATAGTATCTGTACCAGATTTTATTGGAAACTTCCWTTTATTTTACTAATTTTTTTAGGATAGCTAGGACAACTACATCTATAGAAACTAAGACTATTTTCACTTAGCTCTCTTTCAAACTTTTCCATATCTAACTCTGTCATTATGACAGCAGAGTAATACAAGTGATCTGGTCAATAAATACCACTAATTTGAATATAAACAAGGTTTATGTTGTGGTTTCTTTAACATAAATGCAAATTAGCTGGCCTTCATAATTAGACTCTACCTTTCTTATGCATCCCTTATCTTATTGTTCAGCTGTATCCCAAACATGCCATATTCTTAATCCTCTGATTGTTTATGCTCTATCAATTGAAGCACTAAGAATAGTTTTRATTTATAGAGAATCTGACTGATGGCCTAAAATAATTATGGGATTTTATGAATTTGGATTAAAGGTAGCTTTCATTGAAAATCTCTGTTAAGAAGAAAAAGAACATTTGCACAAATGAACTGGTAGTTGATATGGAATGGTAATTTCCATGTTACTTTGGCAGATTAATGACTATTGGGTTTTGTTCACACTTTTAGTAATAAAATAACAAGTAGTTTCCCAGAGATTTTATTTGACTTTTTTATTCTACTGGTTGTTCTTTGGAAGGTACTGTGAAGGGAGTATCAGTAATATTTTGTCATGCACTTAGCAGCCAACTGCCTGACCTCTATGACAAGGTTCGATGCCTTAGTGTCAGAGATAAATCCATGGTTGAAAATACTGGCCTATTTTATATGTTAGGTCAACATGTTTTATTTTCCTCACTAAATATTTTAACTATTTTTTTTAGAAAAATCTCATTTAAGGATTTATATTTAGTTTTATATATGCTTGTTTTACTACTCCTAAACTCTGAGAGTATTAGGTATATAAAAGTGGTCACATCTCTGGTCTGGCTATTTCACTGAGTAGAGTGATTCCTAATGTAAATTATGGATTTTAGTTAATAATGTATAAATATTGGTTTATCAGTTGTAATAAATGTTCCATATTAGCACAAGATATAAATAACAGCAAAAACTACTAGAGAGAGAGGGTATTTTGAGAATTGTGTACTTTTAAATAAATTTTTGTAAACCTAAAACTTTTATAAAAATAAAGTATATTAACTTAAACAAAATCYAAAGTTAACATTACTCTCCTTACTTCTCTTAAAGTCTAAGTTTATTTATTTCCATTTATTTTTATCTTTGTCATCTTGACAAATCTCAACAAAACTTTTTATCCCTAACCTTCTTCATATCATATATAAACATCAATTCTAAATAAATTGAAGATCTCAATGTGAAATGAAAAGCCAATGAAATTTCTAGAAGATAAAAGAATATACTTATGATGTTGGGTTATACAAATATTTCTTAAATAGGACATGAAACTACTAACCACAGTGAAAGCTAGGTTAAAATCATGAACTTCTCTTGAACATTGTTAAAAGACTGAAAAGGTAAGACATCAGGTGGAAAAAGATACTTGAGATTATATGTATGTGTGTACAYAGATTTATATATTATATATATTTATATACATATCTGACAAAAAACATTACATATTTCATTAGGTTGATTTACAAATCAATAAGAAAAAACAAATAAACCAAGTTAATAATAAGCTAAAGATTTAGAGGCCTTCATAGACAGGACACCAACAAAGAGAAAGTGCTTAACTTCAATTGTCATCAAAGAAATGTAAATTAAGAGCATAGTGAAATACCACTGTATACTCATGAAAATGTCTAAAATAAAAAAGACTGACAATAACAAACATTGAAAAATACGTATATGAACTAGAATTCTCATAAACTAATGATTGGTATGTAAATTGGAAGCACTTCTTTGGGAAAATGTTTAACAAATTTAGGAAATCTGAACATATACATAGCCTGTAATCGACCAGTCCTGGTCCTACATAAGTACCAACAGAAATGTATAAATTCACCAAAAAAATTTACAAAAATGTTTATAGAACTACTATTATCCTCAAAACTAACATCATCAAAACTGTCCAAATGTCTACCAACAACAGAATGGATAAAGTGGTATAGACATAATATGTTATATTATAAAACAGCGAGTATGTCTTCAATATGTATTGATAATTACTGCTATGGTAATCGTTCAACAGAAGTGGAATTATATCCAAATTGATCCAAAATATAAAATGATATTTCAGTAATTTGACATCAGAACATGAGACAATACAGCAGGAACKATGGATATAATCTGTCAAAGGTAAATTTAGGAATAAAAATGTTACCCATGGTACTAAGTTCAGAATTTAGTTTGATTTCTGAGAGAAGTGTCTCWCAGTTGCTACTTCTGATGTTCCACCTCATACTCTCACATCACAAGCATGTGGACACAATTGGAAGAGCAAGTAGCTTAGGTGCTCTTTTCCTCAGGTGACAGATGTCTGTGACAAGGTATGTCAAAAGGGAACTATAAGTAGCTTTTCCTGGCCTTGTCCAGAACTGCTTTTGATATAAAGAGAAGAAAGAGCCTACTAATGAAAAGAAATATGGAGATTATACCTTTTAGGTAATTATTTTGTTCACATAATTTATCTTTCTCTTAGTACAAAGAAAAAGAAAGAGGCAATGTTCTTTWAAAATAATAGAATAGAACCTCTACATAATTAACTACTTCACTGTCTCTTTTTCAACCATTGGATCTCACAATTACTTGATCTCAAACTTACTCAAGTCCCTTATTAAGTTTTAATGTAGTGAATATGGAGGTAGTATGGTACAGGAGAAAAAAGCAGTGGGCTAGGAGTATATAATGCCTCCAATTCTTAGGGCTTTGATCTTAAGCAAGGCTGGGGCTCTAGACTACAAGATCTAAGCTACTTTTCTGATGTGAAAATGGCACATTCTACATGCAATACTGTAATGTGAACTTGTGTACAAACATAATACTATTGTACCATAAAATTTCACTAAAAATTGACGTACAAAAAAATCTACCACAAAACTGTTTTTCTTTTCTCCTCTAACAACAATTATGCAGGTTCTTTCCCCTATCCACAATTTAACCTTTGACTTCATAATTAATTTGATATTCTTTGCTCCTTTAAACCGTAACATTAATCACATTGTCAAACACCAATTGAGCATTTTCTATGAGCCAGGCACTGTTCTGAGTTTCACATATGTGCTTTTCCTTAACCCTCATAACAACCCTGCACATTTCCCCTGTTTTGGACATGAGGAAGTTGACACACAAAAAGTTAAGTGATTTTCCAAAGGTCAGAGTCTGAACCCAGCCACCATCTGAACCCAGGCAATCTGACATRAGCGCTCGAAAGGTACAAATAAAATAAATAACAATTGCTTCCACTCAAATTTTACTACTTACCAAAGGCTGTTTCAAAGCACATTAAGCACATTGCATATATTTTCATAACAATTCTGAACAATGTATATTATCATCCCTATTGTTAAGATAGGAATACTAAGACCTATAAAGTTTGTATAATTTCCCCACGGATTGATAACTACTAAACAGCAGATGACAATTTGAACACTAGGTCTGGTCTGCTTTTTTTTCCTATTCTCTTCTTTCCCCTCTATCCTACTTTTTCTTTTTTCTATTCTCCCATTCACATATTTTCCCCACCTTTTTTTGCCTTAAAACATACAACATCATGCATCTTTAAACTAAAGGATAACTAAAGAATTAAGTGTAAATTAATACTGAAAAGTAGATTAGAAAATATGGTATGTATTTCCAAGATCTAAAATCCCAAAGACATATCACTATATATAAAAAAATCTCATCTGAGTGAAATATTTCATGTTAAGTTACCATATGTCAAAAATACTTAGTAAATTTATATGCATATATGTATCATGTGAACATACATATAGATATTACAGAACCTTAGATGTACAGAAGATTTTGAAACATAATATTTTGTCACATGATTTCATTTTTCTTCTATGAAAATTTTACATCCTTTTCCTCTGTATAAAAATTTTCTTTGGGAACCAACTTTAAGAAATACTTTTTCATTTGCATCAGTGGAATTATCATTATAGTTTCAACCTAAAATAATGTTCCTTTAATATGGCATTTTCAGGATTTTTAGGATTTATTTTTAAATATCTTTTTATGTCTTGCTAACTGGCCTTGTTAGACTCCTCATATACATTGTTTACCTTTTTACTGGTCTCTGTGGGGTTAATTTGTCACCATTAATAGCTGAATTTTCACTGCTCTCTGTCAAATACTCAAGGGTTTTCTAGTAAGACCAAACACTGCTGACAGAACTACACCATAATCTTGTCATTGAGATTGTCTCTAATATATATTATATGTAAAACTTTAAAATAAGTATTATTATTGTGATAAATAACTTTTTAATGAGTATTTTGCCAAATTCCTTAATAAAACTAATCTTATGGCCACAGGTTTTTAACTGCCTTTTTACTTTTGTACTCTTTTGAAAACATAGTTATTTCATTACGAAAAGATTATGTTTAAAACACTATTACTAACAATACCATTTTTCAATATAAAAATTTTTGGTGATACATTTTGGGGTAAATTTTGAAAAACATAAAAACAGAATCAATTCCTTCAGTGGTCTAAATACACTGTCAGGCAGTTTAGTTGTATAGTCTATTAGGTATGTTTATAGCACTTACCATAAAGAAGAACTTATACATATAGTTTACTAAATAGTTTTCTAAAAATGGTTTACTAACATGAACATTTTTAGGTTAAGAATGACTCAAATTTGACAAGTGTTTTTGTAAAATTGGTTAAAGCACTGAAACACTGTTTTAAAATATTGCAGATTATATATTTTTATTAGCTTGCTTTAAGCAAAGAAATATTAATCCTTAATTTTATACCATAAGTATATGTAAAATAAGGTGAATCCTGCTCTATGTTTTCTTCACCGATGCCAAGTCACTTACATAAAGTGATGTAGTAATTGCATATAACTTGCATCTTCTCATATAGTTCAAATCCTCTCTAAATAACTTATTATACCTAATACCATATAAATGCTATGTAAATAGTTTTTGTATTATATTATAAAGGAAATATAACAATAAAAAGTACATATTCATCACAGACACAAATATTTTCCAAATAGTTTTCATCTCTGGTTGAATCCTTGTATTCAAATCCAAGAATAAAGAGGTCTGACTATAATACCCCTGCATTCCTGCCAATTGAGACCTCAATTTCTTTCTTTTCCTTTTTTTTTTTTTTTAAGTGCTGGGGATTGAACCCAGGGCCTTGTGCATGTGAGGCAAGCACTTTACTAACGGGTAGAGTTAGAATCACCAACCCAAAACCCAAATTTCTATCTAAGGATTACATAACATTTTAACAAAGCCTTTCTTGCCCTTATCTTTCTTAATTATTCCAAAAGTCGAAAATTGTTGGTAAAGATTTAAAATTAGACAATTGCGGCCTTATAATTTCTCCCCCACTATACCACTAAATCATGCTATATAAGAGGTTATCAGTATTATCTATAAGTAGTGTACACTTCATTCCATGGCATTCACATAGTCTCTGAAACAATATTCCTGGTGCCCAATGTAGTGAACCAAGTTTCCAAATCACTAATCAGTGCAAATTCAGTTATGGACTCTATTATAGACTAGCTCATGGGATGTGAAAAACTAAACATGAGAAAAGGTTGTGTTATGCTCTTTCTGAATGTACTGATTTGTTTTGAGGTTAACTGTAAACTAGAGAATTCATATACTAGGCAGTATAATTAAAATTGTACTCCAGGTAACACTGCATCAGAGATCTCTAACATATCTCCAATTCTTTGAGATAACTCAGGTTCTTTGAGTCACTTGTTTCCTTATTACTATGTTACAAAGTCTGACATTGTTTCTGACTACTAATAACTATAGAATAATTTCTATACACAAAGTTTCATTAACATGAAACAAGCAATGACATCTTCAAGAGAAACAATGTTAAAGATAAATGTAAGATTAAGTGTAAATATCATTACCACCATCTGCAAAGCCAGTTGCAGTGATAATAGGGATAGCCACCATAATTAGTCCACAGCTGCTCCAAACATACTTCATTAAGAATTGCTCTATCATGATGTACCACAAACGTTTGGATAAAATAAGGTTCATCTGGTCCGCTAAAGCTTTGTAACTCTTCTGGAGTTGCTTCATTTCTACCTATAGAGAAAAAAAAAATAAGAATTCATCTAACATATTTATGAAAATAAATACCATATGTGCTTGAGGGCTGTCTTTAATGATAAGCACTTATTATTTTGGTTTACTTAGTATAGCATTATCTATGGGCCTTAACAACCAAGAAATACAGATTAATATTACAATTAGTCATTATTATTTATTTTGGGTTATACTTGGGACTATTTAAAAATTTTATGCTATTCAATGAATATAATATTAAGTGTAAAATACATATAACTGGGCTGTGGGTGTATTCAGTAGTAGAGCACTTGCCTAGTATGGATGAGGCCCTAGGCTCAATCTGCAGCAATCCCCCTCCTCAAATGTGTGTGTGTGTGTGTGTGTGTGTGTGTGTGTGTATCCCCACAAAAATGATTTATCATTATGATTTCAAAATTTAAGCTGTTAAAATTATGTTTGTAAGACACAGATAAACAATATTAGAACCATATCATTCTAAAAATAAATAAATGACATACATTTATAAACTCCACCTTTAACTGACTCAATTTACTGGATTTTGACTTTTATGCAAGAACCATATAGCACACTATAATATACATCATACAGCACACTATAATATACATCATTGTGTTCAATGTTTCAGGAAGAAGGACAAATCAACATGATTAATATAACATATGGGGCCAATTTTCAAGTGGGAGTAAAGGTCCTAAATTTGTTACAAAATTTTTTCTTTAAATTGGTTCTGCTATTTAAAAATTTTGATAATTTCTGATGTTTTAAAAGCTAAATAATCCTCCTTAATAATTAAAATATCTTCAACTTAGAATACCTCATTATTTCATTTGCCAAGCCATCTGTATTAAGATTTCAGATGCATCATTTTTAAAATATGTCATATTTAACATCTGAAGTCACTCCCATGCATTAGAGATCTGTGCAGTCTGGCTAATTGTTTTAAGGATTTACTTAATGTTGAAAATCTTAAATATTTAAAAATATTCTGGAACTTCTTTTTTTCTATTCGTTTCCTAATTGTTATTTTTTTTTCAAAATAGACAAAATTTAATTTCACTGACTCTTTTGAGTCAAACTATGTGCTGAACATAAACTAAACATAATAGAAATATCACTTTATAAGAAACTCTTCTGCATTTCTTAGGATGCTCCAAAATTGATCAGACATGCAAAATTATTAAAATTGTCTTCCATATGAAATGTGGAGTTTTCCCCCTCTTAAGCAACAAAGGAATGACAATGAAATAAACCATTCTAAATTTTCCACCTCAGTGGAAAGGTATTTACTCTTAGTTTCCAAATATGTATTTTTTTCACATACTTTAAGGTTACCTACCAAGTTAGGGTTTAAGTTTTAAGAACGTGTTTTTGAGATATTTGTGTGACTGAAGATATATAGGCTGTTTCTTAAATGTTGAAATTTTATTCTCATCAAACTTTTAAAAAGTTTGCACTTTATAATTCTTTAACAGCCTGCCATTTTAAAAGATAATGAAGTATATATTTTAAGTTTAGCAATCACAGAAATCAAAAAGGTTAAGAAAGTGGRTCCAATAGTCATCAGTCAAATATACAACAGATGGTGTGGCACTGCAGTGGCTGATTCAACAGTCTCACATTTCACTCATCACCTTAATTTTTATCTTACCTTATGTCCTCTGTAAAAAGCAATTTCTTCCACATTGGCTATAATTCTGGAGTGCACATACCGCAAATAGCCTTTTCTATGAGCTTCTTCAGCTACCAATTTACCAAATTTGGGAGAACAAGCCTTCAACACTTTAGCAGTGGCATACACCACAAGTCCTGCTAACAGGGTGGGTCCAATTGGGCTTGCTCCTCTGGACGTAGCAGTCTGGATGAGTGTATAGGAGGTCAGGATTACATCTAAAATAGGTTTGGTCAGGTTGGAATACAAGTGAGCCACAGATTGGGAGAACATCATAATATCCTCAGTAAGAGACTGGTCAGGGTTTGCCAGCCTCCCATCCATATTGATCACCTTATAATAAGTCTGATTTGTAAAATAGGTTTCATAGGCATGGTCTACTAGTCGAGTTCTGAAAGCCAAAGCCAATTTGCACTCCAGGTACCTTATTGCACTGTTGACAAAGGTGGCAGGAATGGCAATCATAAGCCACTTGATTAATTTGAGGATGAAAGTCCGAGGCTTCTTTTCCACAATGCTTTTCACGATTTTTCCATCCAGACCAGCCACATAAATAGATAGAAAGGTTCTTGAGATTAGAGCCACCGAGTGGAGGCAGAGCCACCCTGTTTCAGTGGTCACAAGTTTGGGAAAGAGAATTTTCCGAAGTTCTAGTAGCTGTTTGAAAAAATCTGCATTCACTCCAGGCGAAGGTTTTTTACAAATGGTCTCGGTGCAATGCAGTATTTCTCTGTTCTCTGCAGCGGGGTAAGCTTCTTTTTTCCTCCCGTGGCCAGATTGCTTTAAACGCTTGCCAATGACGGGATAGAGGGTTTTCAGTGCATATGCTGCAGCCACCAGGCAGGCAGCCCTCTTAGCAGCACCCGATCTGGTCCATTTCATTCGATCAGCTGCTGCATTTAGCATATGTATCATTTTCCCAGTTACCCAAACCAGCTTCAAAAAGAATTCTTTTTAAAAGATCATACTCCACAAGGAACCCCCAGTAGATGTTTCAGAAAGTCCTACAGCATCACATAGTCTGTAGCGTTTTTCCTTCACTGTTTTATTTTATTTTGTTATTTTGTTCGTCTGTGACACACACAGCAGAGCTCAGACTCCACAGCATCTACTGGGGATGATTCCCTCAGAAGCTCTAGCTGCACGAAGCTCCTCCCTCCCAGGCTCCTCATTGGCTGTGAAGGCGGTGGGACCTTGGAATCCTCGCAGCTTCTCTTTGGAACCTTGAAAAGGAGGAGAGAGCAAGACGAATTACATCTTTAAACAGTTCAGCGAGGGTTAAACGTCTATTTTTGGAGAGGTCGAATCAGGCCAGCTACCCGCGAACAAAACCTGCCCTAGCTACTGAGCATGCTCAGTGTCATTTAGAAACCCGCAGAAGTTTCAGGATATACAGTTCTTCTTTAAGGTTTTTTTTTTTTTTCTTCTTCTTCTTCTCTTTTCTTTTTTAGATACCATAAGGGGAAGAGAAAGCAGAAAGACTCACAAAACGAGACAAGGGAAAGTAACCATGGAGGAGGGATAAGATGATCAATATCTAATTAATATGAAAAGAAGAAAGTGAAGGGGCACTGGTAAAAACAAAGTATCAAATGCAAATACTGGGGTCTGTGTTTTGATCTGAAGTGGGGTTTGTTTTTTGTCTGTGATTTCATGAATGGTCCCAGAACCTAACAGGTAAGTTGTAATTGAGGGTGTTCCTTGTAAATAAATAGAGGGGAAAGTCTTCTGTATTACAGAAAATAATTCTTTCTTATACTTCTAGATCTTCTCCTATTTTTTCCCACTCCAGATCTATGTTTACTTGTCATATAATAAAAATCTTCCTGCTCCATAACTGTTATTTTTAACAAGGGAAATCAGATGCACTCTTATTTATTTACAAGATGACTATTAAATGAGATTAACGTCTCATTTCTACCACTCCCTTGTGTTTTCACTTGGATATATGTAGCTTTATAATCAAAATTTATTGCTATAACCAAATTTCATTTGTGAATCCAACTGGAATTGGGTAATAGAAAAAGCTTCTGTAGGATCTTACTTCACTTTTCAAGAATTGGTGTTTTTTTRTAAGTTTCGTTGTGTTGGTCTCTTTAGACTTAGAGGTAATATTCTGGCTACTTCTTATTTCCATTTGATTATTTGATAAAAATCAAGAGTGTCTAAAAAAAATTCTTCACATCCTAAAGGAGGATATAGAGGATATAAACTTCTCAATAGTCAAGCAAGGTTTTGCACAATTTAAAAAACCCAAAGGACATTTTTTTTTGAGGTGGGGGAGGCTAAGTGTATATTTTAATGCCAGAAAGTAATTTTTTGTCCCTCTCCATCTCACTCACAACATAGACACTTTCAACTGAAAGCTTGGGAAGACAGACATTTAAGCTAGAACAGAGCTTGGCAAATTATGATCAGTGGGCCAATTTCAGCCTGGTACTTATTTTTATATGACCAGTAAGCTAAGAATGATTTTATATTTTACATGCTAAGCAAGTGCTCTGCTACTCAGCTACAGCCCTAGCCCCAAATATTTTTAGTAGTAGATGGACATGATACTTTTATTTTGTTTATTTATTTTTATATGGTTCCGGGGATCAAACCCAGTGCCTCACAAGTGCTAGGCGAGTGCTTTACCACTGAGCGATTTTATATTTTAAATGGTTGAAAATATACCAAAAAAAGAATATTTTTGTGATGATAAAATTATATGAAATTTTAATTTCCATATCCATAATGAAGTTTTATTGGAACACAGTCAAATTCATTTACCATCTTCTTTTAAGCCATAGTGGCAGAGTTGAATGGATTCAACAGAGACTAAAATGTTTACTGTCTTGCCTTGATAAAATTTTGAAAATTTCTGTTCTAGAATATAAAACCTGTCTCGATGTTAAATGATCTTCATATCTCAGTTTATAATGAACTATCCTCATTTTTATAAGTAACAATATTCTCAAACTTTTAAATCTCTTTCTTATATGATTATATTAATTCCAAGACACATTACATATATTTTCATTTGTTTACTATAAATTCAGCAAATTTATTAATGTATGAATGACAGTTTCATACAAACTTCATAAGAATATATTCGATATTATCAGCACACTCGATCATTCTATTAAGAATTTCTAAACCTGTATATAAAGATCAAAGGGCCATAGTGGTTACTGTCAAAATCTATTCTCTCTCAGATCATGCTTTTGGTGTACACAAAATAAGACCGCCTTATATTTTTAAATTTTAGTAATTTATGTTCATCTCCTGAGATCTAAACACAGAAGGGTTAACTATAACAGGTTGGAGGCCAGGGTAAATCTATCTGGGGGTGATGGCAGGATGTTTAGTCAGGCAGAACAGGTACACAGAAGGATGACTGGGTTAGACAACAGCTGGCAGTCAAGACAAGTGGCTTACATCACTGGCAAACCACCAGGGGCAGCCATATGGGGGAGAAGGAGCGGAGTGGGAATCCAGAAGCAAAGAACACTGAAGATCCAAGCAGGACAGCTCTTAGTTGTAGGTAGGTCAGTTTACCAACTAATAATGAGCCTGGGGTACATAAACAAGCTCTGAAGGCCTGGAGTGAGAATTTGCTGAATGGAGAATCAAATATGAGGAAAGAGACCAAGATAAAAATTTAGTTACAAGAATTACGGTACAAAGAAGGTTGAGAGGCACTTTGTACAACTGTGGAGGTCAATGTGAGTTTTAACTTGATATTGAGCTCCTTAAGTACAGATCTAACTATAATAATGTAAATTTCACCCCTACTGTTCTTTCTACACTGCTCCAAAGGTCAGAGCCTAAAATCTGAGATTAGGTTCAAGGCTTCAGATAAAGCAAAGGAAGGATTCAAGATGAGAAGAAACGATATAGGCAATCAGAGGAGGAAATATAGTCCTGCTCCACATAATAAAGTTTTGGTCAACATTGGACCAGATATACAACAGTGGTCCCATACGATCCTAATGGAATTGAAATACTCCTATAACCAAGGGACATCATAGCCTTTGTAATGTCACAGAACAATGCAATGCATTACTCACCTGTTTATGGCAATGCAATTTTAAACAAACCTATTGTGCAGCCAGTCAGATAAAAATATAGCACATATAATTATGTACAGTACATAACAGTTGATAGTGATAATAAATGATTATGTTACTGGCTTATATATTTATTATACTATACTTTTTATAATTAGAGTGTACTCTTTCTAATTATAAAATAATGTTTGTTGGAAAGCCATGTGCCATATTATTATACCTCATGCATTTCAGGCCTCATGTGCAGCCTCATGCATATCAGGTTTAATATGGCTCAAGAGGTCACACAAAGTGATCTACCTATACCATCTAGTTTTGTGTAAATGCACTCTGTGATATTTGCATGATGACAACACCATCTAAGATGCATTTCTCAATGTATTCCCACCATTATTGACATAGGACTTTAAAAAGTTAAGATGGTTAGAGTGATTCTTTTATCTTTTTTTTATACTGGCAGTATGAATTAAAGCAAAGAGAATGTTACTTAGGTTTGAATTCCAAACTAGGAGAAAAAAAGAAGTAAAAAAATCCCTTGTTATTGTATTAAATGTATTAAGTTTAATTTCCACTCAAGCTTCTTAACTTTATGTATTTTTATATGGGAAAATATTAAAAATTCCTTGGGAAATAATCTTAGAAAAAGAGCTTGAAATGAATTCTAAAAATATTTAAAGCAATGATTCTCAAATTACTACTCTGCTTATAATATAATATTCTCAGGGCCATCACCAATATCCATCCAAGAGTAGGATTAGATTTTACATGTATATATAGAATAATATTTATTAGGAAATAAATAAATAAATATACATACACACATTTTATAAATTGTAAAACTTCAGAATTTTTTGGTAATAAGCAAAACAACATAAATGAATATATTATATAGATTATATATGAATTATATTTTACATTGCAAATCACCAGAAAGTAATTTTTATAAATAGGTAAGGATAAATTGTTTAARTTTTAATAATTTTGAATGAATTTCTTTCACAACAAATGCTGAATAGTATTTGATCTGTACTACATTGTTTTCTTGAACTGATTCCTGACCCAAGAGATTACCTAATTGCTCTACTGACCCTAAAATAGTACAGTGTTTGATCCTTATTATCTATCAGTCATTCTATCTTAGTCATGGAGGCATAAACAACATTGCAGATGAGATCTTCTGTCAATATTTCAGCTATTACACACAACTACCTAATACCTTGTTCCTAAAGAAATGTCTTTTGCTTAAAGAAAAACTCAGTAAATAGCTATCTGAACATGTATCCCATAGATTAATCTTTCTTTAGCCTAATTTACCATTTCTACTGCCTCTTTGTGACTGGGAGGAAAGCAGTAACTCTAGAGGGAAAAGAGATGGTTCATTCCAGCTCTCAGTTCTTTACTCCTCTCAAAAAATTTAGACAATTTCCCCTTTATGTCCTTTCACAAACAATAAAAGGAAAAAAAGAAAGAAAGAAAAGGAAGGACAGAAGCAAGTCATATTTCCTTTAGAAAATTATTTCCCCTTCTAATTAATTTAGTCAACAAGTTTAGAATGCTAAAAGTACGAAAGGCAGATATACAGGACTATTGTTCCTGCCTTGAGTGTAGGGTTTAGTTCCTGAAAACCAACAGCCACTCTGTGCAGAGGAGTACTTCTCTGAAATGTTGAATTCATCTGATCTAGTCAGTCACATATATAGTTTGGTGAGTTTTTGTTATAAAAGTCAGGATTTACATTATTAAACAAGATGTGTATTCTGACACATAATACAATTCCAGGTACTATTTCCCTACTACTTAACAGAAAATGTATTACATCATGAGATCTTCTACAGGTTACACCCTGGGAAAAAAAAGCATCATGGCAACTGAAAAAATTCTTTGTGCATTTATTTGGGATAAGATATTTAATTTCAAAGCAAAATATTATAGAACAGTTTGTAAGGTATGTGTTTTGTGAAGACTATACAAACAATACAGAATGAACAGCAAAATCCAATTTCTGTTTTGGGAATTTTTTTCCTTCTTAATAAGAAATTTAAAGTCTTTGGTCCTTCATAGCTAAATTAATTTGTGATCAAGCTCTTTTAAAAACCCAACACTCACAAAATGTAAAATAGTATATTACTAGAGTGCAATGTTTCTGATAACTTTTTATTAAATATTAAAACTGTGCATTAGAAATATATAAAGGATTTGGGTGTGGAATAACAAATCAGAACAGAAAACATCATTTTGTTTTTGGGGGGGGGGGTGTTTGGATATTGTTAACCATGTCGTTTTATTTCCTGAATCTGGTCTCGGACTTGATAAAGACAGCGGAGGCCAATAAGGAACTAGATAAATTATGGTGGAGACGGTATGAAACGACAACCCTGCGGCCACTATCAGATATTTTCATTTACTTAGGTTTGCCTAAGGTGAGCGGTTAAAACCAATGTCAGTCTTGTTATTCAGGCTGAGTTGGGTGGCCACTGTATTGCTCTCCGATGGATTCCCTTGTGGCCTAACAGGACCCCACTTCCACCGGAAGAGGTGCACTGAAGAAGCCGCAGGGGCTGTAGGGATTGGGACCAGAAGGTCTCTCAGGTGCGCATTGACTGTCGGGAAGTTGGGCCCCAGGCT